ATGGACAAATGACTCTATGTATAAATGTATATTCTGGGAAAATTACAGTGTTTTCTGACCTTAGATGCATTTAAACCTGTTGTAGTGGACTCCAACACAATATTAGGACACTTTAAAAAAAAACATATGACCTGCTCTTTAAGATATTTTTGATGAAATCTGAGGGCTCTCTGACCCTCCCATAGACAGCAAGGTACTACCACATTCAAGGTCCAGAAAAGTACCAAGATGATCGACAAAGTAGTCCGTGTGACATCAGTGGTTCAACTGTAAAGTTATGAAGCTATGAGAATACGTTTTTCAGAACTGACGTCATTACGCCGGATCTGGGTCAGCTGGGTCTGGGACATGATACTGTCATGAACGCGCGTCCAAAGTGATGCAGTAGAGACGAAAATGTGGAATAAAGTCGTTATTTTTGTATATGTTCTGATAAGTATAAACAGGGATTCCACTATCATGGAAAACCTGGAACAACACGAGGGTGATTAATTAATGACAGAATTTTCATTTTTGGGTGAACTAACCCTTTAAGTTTTCTTAGCATTTGACCTGAATTAACCTTGCCTTTCCATGATCAAAACATCCAATTTAAATGTCTAATAAAAAAATAAAAAATAAAATAAAGGAGAATAAAATTAAATAAAAATAAAATAAAATAAAAGCTAGGCATTTTTACTTGTCCCACAATAAACAAACAAATCTCTTTTTAAGTTATTGTATGCATGAAAAGCATTTAATTTATTTTGTGGTTAAATTCATACATGTGTCTCATCATTAACCTGTTAAAAGAAGTGTCCAGGTTTATAAACTAAGTGGGGCGCACTAGAATTAGCAAGGATACATGCTGCTGAATTACTCTCAAAATCAATTATTATTAAAAAAAAACATCTATAGGCCTATATCCATCTGTGTAACTAACAAACACAGCTTATTGTTTGTGTACACACTACTGAGATCACTTTGAAAGTAAACCACAGATCGTTAATTGTCAAAAAGTTTTAAATAATATTTTATAATATTTTACTTTGCCTTCAATGAGTTTGTATTTATTCAGTCTGATACTCTAAAAATTATTTTTAAACAATGGCTGTCACCAGTAAGCATCATTTCTGCACTTCAGAACATCGAATCACAGTGAGACCTCTGCTTTTCTCAAACAGAAGTCAGACTCAGAGTAAACTGATGACCTGTGGGACGCAGGCGGAGTGAGTGAACCAAACCTGCACAGATTCACATTGTGCAGGTGATGCCATTCAAGACACTGAAGAGATCTGGACACTTCAGTTCGCAGTGGCTTTTGTAATGCTGAACAAAGTATCCAGTATGAACACATCTGAGATCCAGTCACTCTCCAGGGGACAATGAGGTTTAAATCTGTAAAAGAATATATTATACTTGCAAAGCAGTACGCCTAGCATGCTCAAATTGCTTGTTTTTGGTTTTAAGTTTTCATTCAAACTAGGGCAAGGTTACTTCAGCTTAATCATGCATGCAGGATACTCAGGGAGTGAGGCTTCGAAACCAAGTGGACATGCAGGGGAGTTCGGCTTGTAGAGGATGTGAAAGTGTTAATGAGCCCCATCAGTGCTCCGTGTGAAGATGTTGTTTCACAGCACCGTTTTCTCTGCCGTACGGGAACGGGTGGCTGTAGCATTCATCTGCAGGTGAGAAAGCATTGTTGTGTGTCCCAGAAAAACAATGAAAATCAGCTCTGTAAGACACAGTTCTAAGACACTATCAGCCACACAAACACACGTTTAGCTATCAAAATGTAGAAGATTAACTCCTATAATCTTGTTTTAATTATATATATTTTAATGCTTACTTTCTTTTTTTCTTGTTTCACAAAGTAAGGCTTTCTGTCAATTAAAATGTTTACATTACGTTTACATGATATGCTGATTAGATAATTGACAATTTATTTATGATAATAATAAGAACAATTTTTATCAATTAAGCACCAATAATAATTGATAATAAATGAGCAGCAAATCAGCATATCAGAATGATTTCTGAAGGATCATATGACACTGAAGACTGGAGTAATGATGCTGAAAATTCAGCTTTGGCATGACAGAAATAAATTACATGTTAAAATATTAAAATAGAAAACAGGCTATTTTAAATTGTAATACTATTTCACAATACTACTGTTTTTTACTATTAATAAACAGCTTTTGACTGTAAAAAAATCAAAAAAAAATTATTATATGTGTAGGTCTATATATTTTTGTGTGTGTGTGTGTGTGTGTGTGTGTGTGTGTGTGTGTGTGTGTGTGTATATATATTAGGTTTTGGTACGTTTTCGGTATGTTTTCGATACGGGGGGGGGGGGTAATTGCTTAC